GCCTGGAGCCTGGAGCCTGGAGCCTGGAGCCTGGAGCCTGGAGCCTGCTTCGGATTCTGTGTCTCCCTCTCTCTCTGACCTTCCCCTGCTCTCTCTCTAAAATAAATAAACATTAAAAAAAAAAATGAAGGGGCGCCTGGGTGGCGCAGTCGGTTAAGCGTCCGACTTCAGCCAGGTCATGATCTCGCGGTCCGTGAGTTCGAGCCCCGCGTCAGGCTCTGGGCTGATGGCTCGGAGCCTGGAGCCTGTTTCCGATTCTGTGTCTCCCTCTCTCTCTGCCCCTCCCCCCGTTCATGCTCTGTCTCTCTCTGTCCCAAAAATAAATAAAAAAACATTGAAAAAAAATTAAAAAAAAAAAAAAAGAAAAACCCCAGCTCCTCACAATCCTGCGGCACATTGCTCGATCAAATTACAGAGGCTGCTGCCTCATGCCTGTGAAAAATTAAACAAATGGATTTCTCCAACTTTCAGGTTTCTTTCCTCGGACACTTCTGCTTGTTCATTCTAGAATCTGCGATAGGTGTTATGCCATCCAGCACAAATCCTCAGTTATGCATTCAGCTTTAATAAATAAGTATTTCCACATCTATTGCCCGAAGAATGCCCAGCTTTCTGGTGACCTGCCCAGAGAGCCTGTTCGGTGCGGCCCGAATCCCATTCCCTCGTACCTACTTCTGCCCATGTCACATGGTCTGAGACCGAGGCTTATCTGTAAAGAATATCACCCTGCCTTCTGTCTGCACTCTCAGCCCCGGGGAGCAGGGGAACTCCCGCCTGCCTCTCAACACCTCCCTTCTGGAGCCTGCTCCAAACTCACTGATTTCTGACCATGAAGCACAGGAGAACAGACAGGTCCTGGGTGAAGCCCGCAGCGCTAATACCTGCAGGGCAAACGGTCCGCATAGGATCAGAATTCCTGTTGTGGCCCAGTGCCCGGCTTTGCTGCACTTCCTGTTGTGGCCCAGTGCCCGGCTTTGCTGCACAAATGTAACCAAAACACAAGAGCATGTCATCTAAGGTGTTCAGACAGCCAAGCTTTACAGAAAGTCATTTCAACTCTTCGTCAAACATTCAGCTTGTTTCCTGGAGCGGGGGGTACACACTCCTGGCCCTATCCCAGCCCAAGACTGTGACTGGATCTGCACGTCCAGAAATGATCTCAGCTGTGTTCCAGCCTCTGGACTACCTGCCCACACCTACCTGCAGGACACAGTGGAGGAGGCAACTGTCACGAGTGCTCCCGGGTCACCACTGAGCCGCAGGGAGAGAGGGCTCCCAGGGATGTGCGCTCTGAGGCTCAGCTCCTGGATGAGTCCCTGCGTGGGCAGAGCTCTGCCCTGGTTTGTGGGCAGCACTCACCATCCCCTGACAGGTGGGGCTGTCTCTGTAGAGCAACGCTGGCAGGGTGAGGGCTGGGGATGGCGTGGCAGCCGGCAGGCGCTTTCCCCTCACCCGGGCCCATCAGTTAACCGGCAGCTGCTGTGCCACATGCACCAGCGTCGACAGCTAGCTGGGTCCCCATGGTGCCCGGCGCTCACCCGTAGATGCTCACGTCCCGGCCTCACCTCAGAGGGTCCGATGATGTTCTGAGGCTGGGCCCCTGCCCTGGGGTAGTGACTGCTCGCTTCACCCCTGAAGCTCTCAGGCAGGACATGGGTCTCCGTCCTGTGCTGCAGGGCTTTTGCTCATGGACCTGGTAAGGGACGGTTTGGAGCACCATGCTATGCTGGCCCAAGAATTGAGCAGCAGACGTCTGGTGGGGTGTGGGTGGCCTCCTGTGACTGGGGTCCCTCCATTACCCAGTGCCCTGCACGGTGTGATCCAGGGGACGCAGCTGGCCCAACAGAGTCTGAAGCCAACAGAGGAGACATGCTGTAGAAATTCGGTCTCCTACCGCAGGTTCCGCTGGATGCCTTGGAGACCTCACATGCCAGGGCCCCCATGGTTCTGGTCCGGGTCTGGGGGCACGTGCATTCCAGCAAACACCCCAGGGGTTCGGTTCGGATGCATGTGGTGCCTAACATCAGTGCCGGAGACTCAGCCTGCCTGGCCCTGAGAAGCACCAGGGAGAGGCTAGCCGACGAGTTTAGATGGGACGGGGTAGGGCAGGTCCCTGTCACAGGCAGCCTGTCCCTTGACAGGCTCACTTCTCAAAATCTTACAGACACGCTCACGCTGAAGCACGAAGATTCACACAGAGAATGCTCACCACGGTGTTTTGCACACAGTTCTGGTAATTGGATACTGGACGCAGCCTAATATCCAACACCAGGGGAAATAAACCACAACATACCTGCATAATTATGTATTTCAGGGCCATCGGGCGGGATGCTCACAGGAACATTACTCAGCCATGAGAAGAAATCAAACTCCATTGTGTGCTATGACCTGGACAGAACTTGGAAACACACTAGATTCCTGGACACAGAAAGAAGGTGGCCGAGGCAGCACCAAGGCTGAGAGGTCACGGTTTGGAACAGGGGTTAGTGTTTAATGGGGACAGAGTCTCTGTTCGGAGGATGAAGCAGCATGGAGATGGGCAGCAGGGAAAACACCGCGCACACACTTGGAGAGTTAAAAACCGACGAGATGGTAACCTGTACGTTACATATATTTTGCCACAAGTAAAAGAATGCTCGTCAAACACGAGAAGAGGGTGCACTCGTAGGACGGGAGTAGAAGACAACCAGTCAGTGCACTTTGGAGAAGCGTGGATGCAGAATTCCATTTTTATAAAAAAGAAAACTGAGCTCCGTACTCATGTGTGCACGTGTGTGCACAGAAATATCTAGAAAGCTCCGTGCCTGTTAGCAGTGGTTACCCTGTGTGATGGGTGACTTACTTTATGGACTTCTGTGCTGTGTGACTGTCGTCACAACAACAAAGCGGAAGTTTGCACAGCGATGTGATGCTCACCTCCAGAGGAGAAAGGCACGATGCGATTTATGTCTGCCACGTAGTCAGCAGCGCCACCCTCGGAGCGGCACATTCACTGGCTGTGAAACCACACAGCGACCCGGCAGGGGACACACTTCCATCTGAACGTGACACGCTGTACACACTCACTATCTCAGTTCCTGAAATTGAGTAAAAACTTAAACACGCCAAAGGCTCGTGAGCAGAATTATTTTCAGTTTATTTTGAGAGTGTGTGCGCGCAAGCAGGGTGAAGAGGCAGAGAGAGAGAGACAGACCCTCAAGACAGAGAACCTCAAGCAGGCTCTGTGCTGTCAGCGCAGAGCCCGACGTGGGGCTTGGTCTCGTGAACTGTGAGATCGTGACCTGAGCTGAAATCAAGAGTCGGACGCTCGACCGACTGAGCCCCTCCGGCGTCCTGAGCAGAATCTGATTAAGAAGAATATGCTTAGTCAGGACGTGAACACACTCCAAGTGCCGATTCTCACAGCCGCTGGGTTCAGACTGCCCACCACTGAGAGCACGAGCCCCGAGGAGCTGAGTGTCCCCCACACAGCCCTTTACAAGAGAAGGACTGATTTGCTTCTACAACTGTCAGACTGTATTTTCTCTCTTTAAGTAGAGACTTCAAGGCGGAGACAGAGGCGCTCACTGGTCTTTGAAACTGGCCTTTCTCTTTTCCACAAATGCAGTCATCCCTTCCTTCCGGTCTTCCTGGTGGGAAAGGGAAAAAAGGCGGAGATGGACATTTGTCAAGCGCGGGGCTCAGCCTGTCTGGGGTTTGCTCAGTCTGTCGGGTTCCTCTGCCCTCCGATATCCAGAGCGGTGGGGGCACCGGGAGGGAGGGTCCTGCATTGGGATCGCCTGGAAACCTGGGAGTGACCCAGATTCCCTGACCACTTAGGGTTGGCCTGGAAATGGCAGTTTTATATGTCACTCAGCCCCAGGTCTGATCATTCAGGGGCCACTGATTTACATGTCAAATAAACTCTCATCCACAGAGAAGCTCAGATGCACGTGTTTGGGTCATTCACCTGTTCTGCACCTGGTTTAGTGGCGGTCTGTGTCAACGAGTATCCCGAGTGCCAAGGAGCAGGACACGGAGTGCAAGCCCACCTTGCACCTTTCTCTGCGTGCGCGCATGTGCACACACGCACACACACACCCTTCCCTGCACGCGCAAGTGCACACACATGCACACGCATACCTTCACTCCCTCGACAGGCAAAGCTATTTCTGATCTCTCTTTTATGAAACACCTACATAAGACTTTCTGATAAAAAAGAGGTTTTAATGACCATTACAAGACTGACCACCTTTTGGTTACTGTCAGAAATCCTAGAAAACACTGTTCTGAAGCTCTGGGTTGCAGTTTCAGAACACATTCAAATTCCGTTCCCAGCAATTTGACAGATCCAGGAAAATTATGGGCAAGCGGACTGCATTTACGTACGGGAGCTTGCTGTCTAAGAGTGCAGTTCCTAAGACCTTCCGTAACAGGAAGTCACCCTGTAAGAGCTTCCATACACTGCACTTATTTGCGAAAATCATGCTCACGGACAGGATACATCTGATCCAGTTACTGGGGAAGTGAATGGTTCAACCAAAGAGAAATGGTATCTAATGAAAAAATCTACAAGGAAATTCTCCGTGATTTTTATGGCTGGGACACTTGTGACACCTCATCTGAGTGTTGTTTACTCACAGTAGCGAACGTTGAATAGAAGAGCTTCTTCTCCAACTTGTTTCCCTCTGTTAATGTCATTTCAAAAGCTGAAAAAGAAAATCCTGAAGTCATGAACTCCGGTGTTAGATGTGGGAACATATCAATTTTTTACAGTGATAGGGAACATTTCCCGCTGACCCACATCAACCTCAATTTCACCATGATTGAGACCGCAGCCTGGGAAGCCCTCCCTGGCTGAGACATCAGCAAAGCCACCTGCTTAGAGGGCTTCCTGAGCTTCCTGCCCAGTGGCCGAAAAAACAGAGGCGTGAGGAAATGAGTAAAGGAGTTTAATGACCAACTCTTTCTAATCACAAGAGAATCTGGGAGCCTACAGAGGTAGATGTATTTCACAAAACATTAAAAAAATAAGAATTAAAGGGGTGCCTGGGTGGCTCAGTCAGTGGAGCCTCGGACTTTGGCTCAGGTCATGATCTCATGGTTCGTGGGACTGAGTCCTGTGTCAGCCTCTGCGCTGACAGTGTGGAGCCTGTTGGGGATTTTCCCTCTCCCTCTGCCCCTCCCCTGCTTGTGCTTTCTCTCAAAATAAATAAAAATTACAAAAAAAGAAGAAAAAAAAGGATTTATTAAAGACAAAAAAGGGAATGAAAACCAGAAAAAGGAACATTGTGCCAGAACAGAGTCCTGGAGTCCCGGGCAGCAAGAACGCCATTGCTCTGGGCCCCGTCTTTCTGGCGAAGGTGCAGTGTTTCTCTTGGCTGAGCACCAGGAGCAGCAGGTCCTGGGCGAGGGGTGGAACGGTGGCAGGTGCCTCTGACTGTGGCCTCACGGACACTCTGCAGGAACAGCAGCGTCCGCTTCTGGAGTGTGTGCTACCCACACACCCTCGCAGTGAAGCGTCACAAACACCAGCTCACTCAAGTAAGGTGGCGGCAGCCCAGGGTGACCAGCTTTCCCGCATATGAGTGCAGGCCCGGGGGCCTCAGCAGCCATCTCGGGCCCACGGTCTTCTAGGCAGCACCAGGCAAGACCCCCAATGCCTGGACCACGTGCTCCGTTAAAACTCCAGAAATTCTCAGAAGGGCCACAGCTGCTTGGCCGGTAGAGAGCAGATGGAGTCTGGAGCCACGGGGGGCAGCAGGCACGCTGACCCCGGTTCACAAGGGTGTCCACGAGCCTATACTACCCGTCCGGCCCTGCTCACGGCACAGCCCACACCCTGCTGCGGACAGGGAAGCATCCCCCACCAGGTTCTGGGGGCTGAGCCGACTTTCTCAGGAGCCAGACTGGTTTCACTCTAGGGACCATCCTGCCCATCCCACCCATTTCCCTGTAGCCCAGAGCTCGTCACCCTCTGTCCCTCAGGCTGGCTCCTTCCTTGGGTTGTGACAGCAAGGGGACTCAGAAGGTTTCAGGAGAATCTGTAGCCAGCAACCAAAAACTAGAACTCTACAAAGAGCCAGGATCACAACATGAAGAACCTCGTGATTTCTGTCCAGGGTGGGTTAAGATGCATGACTTAGAACCAAAGCCTCGAGGCTCACGACTGTTCCTGTGCTGCCCGGCCCTTGGACCTCCGCCTCCCGGCAGAACCCCCACCTGCATTCACGGACTCTTTGGCCATTGCTGCTATGATTTTGGAATTGCTGGCAATTTTCTCCGCACACTGGATGGCTTCTTCGACCAGTGTCTCCACAGGAAAAATTTTGCTTACAAGACCTGAAACTCAAAAAGGTAAATAACATGGGCAAATAGCACTGGTTATGTTTTTCTGAGTCATGATGCTGTGCCAAGAGCCCGGGTCTTCTGGGTGCTGACAAGGGGCTGCAGTGACACAGTAAAGGCTCCACGCCATCCCTGAGGTGGGGCCGATGCCCTCTGCTGCTGGGGCCACTAGGCTCTCACAGACACATAAATTAGGAAGAGAGAGTCCCCCAGGGACAGAGAAGGAGTGTGTCCGCCGAGGGTCTCCAAGATCCCCCACCGCTGACACTGGGCTTGGGAAACAGGATGGTTTTCTAATGATTCTTTAACCAGATGTTTGTTTTAGTTATTTTATACATGGGGCATTCCCAATAAAAAACAAAGGCAGCTGTCCCCGGGGTTCTCGGGACACCAGAAAGCACGGCTGGACACAGCCCTCCCCTTTCTACTCAGCTCCCCGTGAGGGCGGCTCCATGGGGCAGCGCTGGCTCCCACCTGCTTGCTTGGCATCCTGGGCAGAGATCCGGTCACCAGTGAGGACCATCTCCATGGCCAGTGACTTTCCAACAGCACGGGTCAGTCTCTGGGTGCCCCCTGCACCTGCAGGCACAGAAGGCTGCAGGTCACCGCCAGTTCATGGCCAGTGCAAGCCAAGACGCTACAGACACACTTCCAGCCAAGTTCTGAGGGGTGAAGATGGGCCCCGTGGGTGGGGCAGGTGGGCAGAAAGGAGGCAACTTAAAGCCCTCAGGGGAGGCTCCTTTTCCTACTCAGGCCCCACGCCTGGCAGGCCGAGTCCTCTGCATGAGCGGCTCTCTGGCAGGAGTCAGACTGCTCAGACCCTGGCCCCGCGCAACCTGGAGGGCAGCTGGGGTGGCCTCTGACAGTGGCCTGCTGCCCTCAGGGTATGGAGTGAGACCAAGGGCTCCACCTCCTGGGCTGTTGAGTGTGTCTTTATCTCCAGTGCTGGCTTCTGTGCACCCCACTCACCCTCCTGCTCACTTGACACTCTGCAGCTGGAAAAACAGTGATCTGCCCAGTCATCTGCCCCCCGCTGAACCCCAGGCTGCCAGGATGAGCCAAGGGGACCACCTGAGGGAGATACCCACAGTCCAGCAGGCTCAGGTACTATTTCAAGGAAGTGCAGGCCTTGGGCACAAGGACAGAAGAGCCCAGTGGTCAGCAGAGCTCATCCAGGGCTTTCCTTGCCCGTATCTGACCCCACAGCTGCTCCCTGCCTGCTGGGCTGCTCAGGAGATACTGTGAGCTCCAGGCTCTACATGCAGGGCAGAGACCCTGTGGGGAAGTGAGCCAGGAGTCCTCATCAAGTGGTCCCCAGGGCACAGAGAGGTCACTGTTTGCCCACGGATCCCGTCAGCCTCCTCGTGCGGTATCTGATTCCCTGCTCTGTTGAACCTGGGGTCACAAGCCAGATCACTGCAACTATAATGCAATATGTAGCCGGCCACTCCTACTAGCGTCTGACAAGGAATCGGGCTGTCATTAAAGGAGACTGCGCAGCCGGAGGCTCTTGAGCCACTGTCTGAGCACTGTTGTATCCACTGGGGCTTAGTGTGCTGGCCAGCAGAGGTAGCAATGGGAGCAGAAAGGTGGCCGCCGGGCCAGTGCTCGTTTGGCAGCCCGGGGTCCCTCGTCAGATGCAAGCTGCATGCTTTTGTCTATTGGTGGAAAAGCCCATCACTTCCTGAGACGTGGGCAAATTCCAGAGAATTATCTGAAGGAAGACTTTACGTCAGAGAGGTCATCACGCTTTACCTGGGATGGTTCCTAGTAGGATTTCCGGCTGCGCAAACTGGGCTTTCTCTCCGGCATAAATGATGTCACACATCATAGCAAGTTCGCAGCCGCCACCAAGCTGCAAAACATGAGGCGCCACCAGGAAACCCAGTCAGAAATTCACTCTATCTGCCTAAATTTTCTGTTAAAATGAACCTGCCCAAGAGTAGCAAGATTCACACAAGAGATGCAAAGTTAGTTACGTGTTCCCATAAGTTACCCACAAATGGCCGATGCTGGCAACGGGCCCGACAGCAAACTCTCTCAGCTCTGTGGGTCCCACAGGCTCGAAGGCAGCCAGGGAGTTCATGAATTAGCAGGCAGGATGGTGGTCCAATAAACCCGACTGGCTGACCCCGGCTTACCCAAGGGGAGCTTTGTTAAAGGATCACTAACAGAGCTGCCTTCATCACTTCGCTCCGACCAGCCCCAGTGCCTTTGAGTGCCCATGTGCCTGGACAGAGTCCCTGAACTACCACGCGGAGAACACGTCTCTCAACGGCGGCAGAGGCTGTCAGTTTACAGGTGCAGGGCAGGCTGCAGCCATTAAAACTGTACAGAAAAGGCAGAACGCAGCCTATAACCTAGTAGAGGCAGTCGTTCCCTGGAGTCATGGGGGCTGCGGTGGGGACGGAGGGGCTCTCCTAACAAAGGAACCAGAAAGCCAGCGGTTGAACGTCCACTAACAAAAGCCAGTGCTGTAATGTGTTCTCTCTGTGCTTCCCGGGTCTTTGGCGTCACTTGGTAGGAGGGGCATGCTGGCTGGTAACTACACTCTGGCCTTTCCTTTTCTTTTCTTTTTAAATATTTATTTATTTTTGGGAGAGAGACAGAGCATGAGCAGGGGAGGGGCAGAGAGAGAGGGAGACACAGAATCTGAAGCAGGCTCCAGGCTCCGAGCTGTCAGCACAGAGCCTGATGCGGGGCTCGAACCCACGAACTGTGAGATCACAACTTGAGCCAAAGTCAGATGCTTAACCGACTGAGCCACCCAGGTCACTCTGGCCTTTTCAAAACAAAAATCGGTTATTTGATGCCTGCCAGTGTGCTGAGAGGAGGTGTGGCCCGACACTCACGGCGTAGCCATTGACAGCAGCTATGACTGGCTTCTTAACCCGGGCAAGTCGGTCCCAGTGGCTCAAAAACATGCCGGAGTAACAGTCCTGGAACGTTCGGCTCTGCATCTCCTTGATGTCGGCTCCAGCTGGGGGGTGGAAACGAGGTCCCAGTTACGAGAGCAGAGACCCCATGTTGCTATGGGAGCTGTGAGTGTGTAGGAACGGCCAAGCAGGACCTGTGAGGCGATGGCCACAGGGACAGAGGCGGCAGCAGGGACAGAGGCGATACACCGTGGTATTTGTTGACGGAGGTGACACAGAGGGACCGCGGGATAGGAACCAGGTGCAAGCGGAACTCAGGAGGCTTATTCATTAGTCACTTAAGCCCTCAACGCACATAAAACCCGACTGTCGGGGACCCGAATTCCTCTCAAACTCATTTTGCTGGTGGAGCACACTTGAATGTTAAACAGACAGAGCAGTTATTTGAAGAAATACTGGTGCCGTTTACGCTTCACATTTAAAGAAACCCCAAGTACTAAAGCGTCTGATGCTGCCGCGGAGGTCTAAGTGCCTACAATGCCACGTGCCACGGTCAGACCGCCCCTCCAACACCTGGCTGACCGGCGGCCATGCTGCCCACACACCTGCAAATGCCTTCTCCCCACCCGTGAGGACGATGGCCCCCACAGCGGGGTCCTCCTCAAAGGCGTCCAGTGCCTGGTTGAGCTCCACGATCAGGCCATTGCAGAGCGCGTTGAGCGCTTTGGGGCGGTTCAGTCGGATCAGCCCCACGTTGCCGTCCTTCCCCTTCTTTTCTGTGATGAGGTACTGAAAGTCAGCACCTGGGGTGAGAGGGGACAAAGGGATTTCCATTCACGTAGGCATCGAACTAGCGGGACTTAACCCATCAGCGCACGGAGTGACCCTGACATGTCCCCGGCCCAGTCCTCAGGCAGCAGCACACAGCTTTCAGCCTCATGGGTGGCCTCTGTACCAGTCTCTACCCTCACAGAAGTGTGAACATTTCCTTAAGCTAGAAAGCAAACCCAACAACAAAGAGCAGCCCACAGCGGCCTTCCTTCTCCTGCATGTGCTGGTCAACACTGCCCAGATCCTGCACTAGGGACATCCCGTGACCCTGCAGAAACAAGGGATGGGGACATAGGTTCCTTCAACAAATGCCAACTCGGTGGCAGAACCAAGCTGCGGACAGAACACAGCAGGAGGCACACACAGGGAAAAGGTGACTGCCGCGGCCGGGAGGGTCAGGCCGCTCAGATTTGGGGTGTCAGTAAGGCCTGGAGAGGAAGAAGTGTAACCTGGGAAACCACAGGTGTGTGTGGGGTGAGGATCGGCACCCACCCTGGGGGTCGGTTGGGGAGCGACACGGAAAATACTTAGCAGCAGCACGAATGCTGCCTGGGAAACGACTGCTGACTGCAGGTCAGGGGCAGAAGGGAACCTCAAGGAAACGGAGGGTAAGACCACAGGCCGTGGCAGCGGGCAGTCACGTGGGTACCTGCGTGGGTACCCGCCAAAGGAAGAGGAGGCAGGGATTCGCCCAGTTCAGGGACAAGCCAAGCGCTCCTTGGGAGGCCCGCGCCCCGGCTGAAGGCTGAGTGCGGGACGGGCCGGCCAGACCTGGGGCAGCAGCGGACACGGGCGGCCCGCACTGGAGGCCTGCCGGACCAAGCACGTGGCCGTTTCCAATCCCGAGGCCCCAACTGCACCTTCTCTTGAACTCCCGAAAACCACCAAGCAAACTGAAACGGCCAGCGGTCTCGGCACGTGGTCCTGATCCCAAATGAGGGGGCACCAGTAACCCCCGAGCCCAGCGGGGGAGGCGGCAGGTGCTGAGGGGCGGGGTCAGGCCCTGGCGGCGACTGCGGGTGCTGAAGGGTCAGCTCCGGAGTCGAGCAGGGTCAGGCCCGGGAGTCCCAGGTGCGGCCGCGGTGCCGGGCCCCCACCCCGGGTCCGCGCCCTCGGCCCCGCACTCACCCGAGGCGAAGGCGCGCAGGGCCGCGCAGCCGAGCCGGGGGCGCAGCGGGCCGCGGACAAAGGGTAGCAGGGCGCGCAGGGCGGCCATGGCGCTCCGGGACGAGTCGCCCCGCCCCGCGGAGCCGCCCCCGGCTCCGCCAGTCAGGGCCCGGCCCGCCTCCTGGCCGGCGTCGCGAGAAGACGAGGGCATCGCGAGACCAGCGGCGTGCCGGAAGGGGGCGTGACGAGGCCGGGGGAAGGGGTCGAGGCTCGAGGAGCCAAACCCGGCGCGCGGGTGGCGGCGGTGGGCTGAGCGATTTTGGGGGGCCCCGGGCGGCGGACACCAGCCCTGAAGATGCCGAGGGCCAGGCCCGCCGCTGTCTGACCGCCCGTGGGGACCCCAGTCAAGCCGCCTGACGTGCCCGGGAAGGTCGCCAGGGGCTGCCGGGGCCTCTTCTTGACCTTGACCTTCAGCCTTCGGCCCTTGCCACCCCGTTCCGGACGTGTCCCCCCACTTCCGGGACGAGCCCCCACGCGGCTTTCCCGGAGGCCGGGTTCGGGGCAGGGCTCGCGGGCGCGGGGTTCCAAGCCTGTGCGTCCTTGGGGACGCCCTGGGTCTCTCACCACCCCCCCCCCCCCCCCCCCAGTCCTGCACGACAAGCGTGGCCGCGGGGTCGGAAAGAAGCTGAACGGAGTGATGGTTCCTGACCGCTGTCCCGGGGGTGGCTGGCATTCTGTTGGTGCTTCGCCCCCGCAGCCCCGCGCGCTCGGCGCCGCGGAGACATTGTGCTGTCCCTGGCTGCACCTCCCGCGCACATGGTGCGGTGCGTCCCGGGCCCTCGCGCTCGGTGTTGCATAGTCCCCAGCACCGAAATTTTTGTACGTGTAGGTCTAGACAGCGTGCGTGCGTCACCGTACTGATTATTTACACTGGCGGCCAGGTAGCTACTGAATACTAGATTATGGGTAGCTTTATAAAAGTAATAACTAAATTTTAAGAATGACCTTGTAAGTTTAAATTCTTTTGGTTGTAAGTTACGAGTGCTGAGACACCAGGCTTCCATTTGTATCTTGTGCAGGCTCTGCAAATGGAGACAAAAGACAGAGTCTACAAGTGGAAAGTACAATTGGAGTTTTAAGTAAATAAAAAATTCAAACCAGAACCGAATACTCGGCAAGGTTTATTTCAAGGCTGAAGGTGGAATAAAGACCTTTTCATGCAAACAGAAACATTGCCAACTCTGTGTTAAAGGAGACTGTGTCCGCGTGGGCTACACGGCTGGAACAGGCACACAAAATGAAATGGTTCCAGCATGAGAGAAGTTTCTGGGACACCAGGGCTGGTGTTGAGGAGGGTGCCTGCTGTCCTCCATGAGGACAAGAGCACGAGTGACAGAACAAATGTATTAACCTTCAAAATAAAAGTCACTTACTTTACCAGCAAAAATGGGTTTATTTGGAAATAGCAGAGAAGAGCAATTAGGGACATGCCAGCTATAGTCCAGTGCAACAGAGGAGAGGAACTTTAGTTTATGCAGAAGGAGGACTTTGGGAGGCACTGCCTCAAACTAAAGTCTTTTGGAGAGAAGCAAGAGTTCCTGGTGATGAGCGTTTCTTGGCTGAGTTGCAGGAGTGGTCCTTGTTTTCGTGCACATGCAATGTTCACCTCTTCCTGTAGGGGCCTATAACTGATGATCCTTTATTCCCAAGGATTCTTAGGTTGGGTCTGTAATTCACAATTCCTGTAATCCACATGGAGTGGTATGGCTCCCCCTTTTGGCCTCGGGACTCTATTTTGGTGAGGTTTCTCTTATTGTGGTGTGTGTATATATACATATATACATATATACATGTATACAAATATATACATACACACATATACACACATACATACATATATATACACATACATACACACACACACATATATGTGTTGGGCCTCAGCAAAGTTTAAAACCTTTGTATTCCAAAGGACACCACGAAGAAAGTGAAAAGACAACCCACAGAATGAGAAAAATTTTTTGCAAACAAAAGATGTGATAAGGGTCTTGTGTCTAGAATATATAAAAACACTTTCAACTCCATAATAAAAAGGCAAACCATTAAAAAATGGGCAAAGGAGGGGTGCCTAGATGGCTCAGTCGGAAGGCCGTGCGACTCTTGATCCTGGGGTTGTAAGTTCAAGTTCCACGTTTGGTGTAGCGGTTACTAAAAAGTAAACCAAAAAATGGGCAAAAGACTTGAACAGAAACTTCTCCAATAAAGATACACAGATGACCAATGTGCGCACAAAAAGGTGCTCAGTATCTGTAGTCACTAGGGAAATGCAAATCAAAACCACGAGAGATCACCTCATACTAGAATGGCTATAACCAAAAAGGACAGATAATGGTAACTGTTCGCAAGGATGTGGAGAAATTGGAAGGCTTATTCACTGCTGCTGGGAATGTAAAACAATGCAGTCACTTTGGAAGGTAGTCTGGCAGTTCCTCAAAAAGTTAAACATAGTGTGACCATACGACCCAGCAATTCTACTCCTGTGTATATACCCAAGAGAATGAAAACATAGGTCTACACAAAATCTTGTTCGTGAATATTCATAGCAGTGTTATTCATAGTATCAAACATGTGGGAAAAAAATCCAAATGCCGATCACCTTAATGGGTAAAAATGTGGTATGTCTATACAATGAATGCATTAAAATGGATTAGAATATACAATAGAATGTTATTTGGCAATAAAATGAGGTGTACTGACACCTGCTACAATGTGGGTGAACGATATGCTGAGTGAAAAAGGCCCTGTACTATTGTATGACTCCATTTGCACAAATGTTCAGAATAGGCAGATCCATAGCGGCAGAAATCAGATTAGTAATCGCCAGGGGTTGCAGAAGGGGTGTGGTGGGGCACTGCTAAAAAGGAGGTTTCTTCTTGGAGTGACGAGCATGTTCCAAACTTGCTTGTGGTGATGGTTTCACAGCTCTGTAAACATACTGTAAAGCAGTGAATTGCACACTTTAAACGGGTGAACTATATGGCATGTGAATTGTGATCAGTAAAGCTGTTTACAACTGGACAACCTGATTTACTTAGGTCACATGGGCAACACCACTGTGTAGTTGCAGCCTCGATGGCCGGGGTGGCCCTCGGGCTGATCAGAAGCTCATGACAGAAACAAGGGTGTCCTGTGTGTGCTTGAGCTGCTGCTGGTGGCCTCAGACACAGCCAAGTAGTCCAGCCCCGGTCGTGGCCATGGGACTTTTCTGTTTCCAAGAGTGTGGGACGAGGATGACAGACCCAGCTACTGGTCACAGTGCTGGTTGCAGCTATAGTTTGATTCAGGCGGTGGTGCCACAGTGAAGGGACACAGGGGCAGGAGATGTCCTTTCCTACAGCCTGGGGACTAAGGTGCTCCCTCCCCCAGGTGTCAACCTAGCTGTCTTCTCTCCCCAGCCATAAACTCAAGTTGTGGACTTTGCCTTCTCTCCAATCACCCTCTACATGCACCCAGGCCTTCCATTCAGATGTCATCTGCATGGGCCACCACTGGGCTGGGGGCAGGGGTACACATGGAGCAGGTATTCAGTCAAGTGGTCCCTGCCTTCAAGGTGTAGGGCTGTGTCAAACAAGAAGATCCAGGGGAGTGGGCCAGAATTAAGTTTGAGTCCCCCAGACCCTGTTTTGGCCAGCTTCTTATCCAGGAATGATCAGGGCAGAATCTAACTTCCTAAATAGGCCCCTGCAACCCCTCATGATCCTGATCTTACCAGTGTTGACTGAGAAAAGAGGCAGAGTTGAAGTAAAACAAAAGCGTTATTTGGGGTCTCAGAATTGCAATTTGGGGAGTAGAGATTTGGGTAGCAGCCCAAATTGTGTCCTCCTAGGGAAAAAACATCAAGGTTTTTTATTTTTATCTTTTTCAAGTTTATTTATTCATTTTGAGAGAGAATGAGGGCAAGAGCAGAGGAGGGGCAGAGACAGAGGGAAAGAGAGAACCCCAAGCGGGCTCCACACTGCACAGAGGTCTCAAACTGCGAGATCATGACCTGACCTGAAATCAAGAGTCTGATGCTCAACTGACTGAGCCACCCAGGCACCCCAAAAGTCAGGGCTTTTTAAAGACCAAAGGGAATGCTTGTAGGCACTGTTTACTAAGAATTTTGATTGGTGTGGGCAGTAGGAAACTAATCTTGGCTGAATATAATCGATGGCTAAGGCTACCACTAAGCAAAGTCTTTCTGTGCTGCGTTGCCGGTGTTTGGGCAGAGTCCTTGGAGCCCAGTTCAAAGTTCATGGCTTTACCTGGTGAGGGCGTGAACAGGCTGTCCCCTTGAAGGCCCCTGGCTCCATCTGAAAAACTCCTTGACAAACGTGACTCCATCTCATTTTACCTTTCGCACCAGAAAGAACAGGCTGGCTGCTGGAGGAGGAGAAAGTCCCCACTCACGAGGTACCAGATGCTTGGGGTATGGACATCATCAAATACCTGTTTCTGGGCAGCCACTGGCGGACAATAAAGGGACAGGATAACCGAAAACATGGCACCGGGTAGTTTCAAGGGTGATAGAGCCAGTTGACAGGACAAGGGCAGTGACAACGCGGCCTGAAAATGGGGCTGCAGCTGTGAGACACAGCCGGCCACCTGGAGAGAGGGCTGACATCTGGCCAGTTAGTCTGCCCGGAGTGACCAAGGCCCAGACGAGGAGGTCCCCCTCACTGAAGGATGACGTGTGCCTCACGGCCCCATGGGTCGTGTCCTCGAGTGTGGCATTGTGCTGCCACATCAGGGGCAATGGGCGTGTCACTAGAAACTCTCTAACAAGCTCCAAACAAGCCACAATGACCCAGTTTTCTAGCCCTGCTTACAGGGGCTGCTTGCCACCCAAAACTAAGGCCCAGGCCAGAAGCCACGAGCTCTAAACAAGCCCCCAAGGCCCAGTTTTTGACCAGTTTGATCCAGTTCCGGCAGCGGGCTAACCCTCCAGGTGACCTTGGGATTGTAACAGAAAACACCCGCTAGCACCCTGACAGACCCACTGTGCCCATTTAGGGAAAACAGAGGTTGCGCGGACTCCAAGAAAGCCTCCTTCTTCCCTGAAAAACCCCGCCAGCTTGCTCACTAGCCCCTTAAGTACCCTGATGCCATAAAGCCCTGACCCTGAGACCTGATCCAGGAGACGGAACCTTTAGAGCACAAGCTCCCCTTTTCTATTCTCTGGTCATTGAATAAATTACCGGCTTGCCATCAAATACTATTTGGTTATTTGGCAAACAGTACTGAGTAGGAACTAGCCACTTTGATAACAGATGGGCTTCTTGGGCTCCACCACCAGCTTGACTTCAGGGGTCACATCAGGGCTCTCACCACGGGCATACCTGTAGGAGACCCAGAGACCAGCAGCCATTTTCCGGAGTTTGGGACACCAAGAGTCTTTAATCTGTGGGCTGAAGTGTCCTCAGTGGTAGACCAGACATCTGGGACATTGACCACAGCTCAGTGACCCTGCTGAGTTGAACCCTGGGGGAACCCCAGGGCATATAGGGGAACCTCTGAGGAGGAAGCCCCCTGGGCCAGCGGCTTTACTCCAGGTGCTACAGTCGGGGGTAAAGTTTCCCCCAAAGGGAGAGCTCTCTCTTCCAGAAAACAGGTGATACTAGGGTCAGGGTGACTGTACCCCAAACATGTTTCATTGGATTCATCAGATCGGCAGGGATGTGAGGCTGAGTGACAAGGCCAGGGGTCTGGCGGTCAGCTCTGTGAACTGGTCTTGTCCTGGCACTGCTTCTGGGTTCCCTGCAACCTCCGGTTTCCTCCTGGGGCTTTATGTCCCTGCCAGGGGCTGTGCAGGGGTCAGGTGAGCGCCTCCAGTCAGAGGGGGCACCTCTAGGGACCGGCACCCTCTGACACGCTGTGTTATCCCCGTCTTTCCCTGCACCAGACAGCTGTCCAGGATCCTATTGGGGAGCAGGGATGAGGTACAGAGGGAGGAGCCCAGGGCCACCTGCCCAGCATGCAGCTGCACAAAAGCTGCCCTCCAACCACTGTGGTCCCCAGGGGCAGCGATCGTTCCTGGCAGTCACTCGTGGGTGTCCCGGCCTGCTTGGTTGCCTATATGACCAGCCACAGAAACTGTTCAGTGTCGGGAGACAGGTCAGCCTGTGGTCTGGGCACTCTGCAAGAATTCTCAGACACTGCTTCCTGCCTGTGGCAGCACCCCTCCCAACATCATTCTTTTAAGGTGCATGTATTGCTTGCATGTACATTTCATTGAGAGTCACATATTTACTCATATTTTTATGTCTACTTTCTGAATTCCACAAGGGCTGGGATTTTGCCACTATTTGGTCATTATTCAGGGATGAGTCTTCTGCACCTTGCATCATTTGAATAGGTATTCTCATGTTTAAGAAGCTGTTAAGATTACAGGCAGTGGCCCTGGTGACTGTCCCGTGCCATCCTGGCAGCAGCCTGGAAGTCTGTCTCTGCACAGAGGCACAGTCGGGAGTGCGTCTCCAGCACCCAGAAAACTGACCGTCTGCACTCTCTTCCACTCTTTGGCTCCAAATACTAGCAGGCAGGCATGCATGCTGCACACAGGACACCGGAAGATGCTGGGGAGACCGGCCAGCCCAGAGGAAAGACTTAGAGATACTGATGGGGGGGGGGCTCCCCAATCAACAGGCCCCCTGAGCACCCCAGAGTCAAACTCAAATTTGATGACTCCCACTTACAAGTCTAGTATTTCCAAATAGCCTTCTGGTATATTCCTCCTCACGAGCAAACAAACATTACCTGACGGCGTGTAAAGCGTCTTCCTGGAAGGTAGGAACGGAAGAAACAGCAAAGAGATAACTCAGAGCAAACATACTAGGCAGGAGAATGATACTGCAGTATTTCTCATTCATACCCTCAGACGTTGCTCACTGACATGAGGGAAGAAGAAGGAGCTCTTGGAAATTGGACACTGTGACAGCAGAAACAAAAGCCTCAAGGGAGAAATCCCTCAGAAAGCAGAGCAAAGGGTAAAGATGGAAAACAGGAGCGACTACGTTCGAGGGTCAGGCTCAGACCTCTGACATCCTAAAACAGGAATTCTAATTTTTTAAAATTTCTTTAGAGACAAAGAGAGAGAGAGCACATGAGCAGGGGAGGGGCAGAGGGAGAGAATCCCCAGCAGAGTCCACGCTCCCACCACCCTGGGATCACCATCTGAGCCGAAATCAAGAGCCCGATGCTCCATCGACTGCACCACCCATGCACCCCCTAAAATAGGGATTCTGGAAAGAGGAAATGTGGAATCGAGGAACAAGTCATTGGTAGAAATGATTGATTAGTGAAACAGCCTACAAAAGAAGTTCCCGGGAGTGAGGGACAGGCGTTTCCCGACTGAGGGCCCTTTGAGTTCCCATCACAGTGAAGGAAAATCCAGGCACTTGGAGCCACCACGTTGTGAAATTTCAATAGATGATCCTGAAAATTTGCAGGGAGGAACCAGCCTCCACTGTGGTAAAGGATTATAAATTGAAAGCCTGTGAATTTCTTAACAGCACCCCTAACAATCAAGGGGACAATGCCTTCACAGTCCGAAGGAAGAAGCCTCTAACCTAGAATTCTTTGCTTAGAGCGTGTGAGGGCAAATCGAAGACATTTTCAGGTCTGCAATAACATTAAACAAAAAAGATATCCCAGACACCTCTTCTCAGCTTCACCAAAACAAGTGAGTGAATCAAGGAAAAAGAAGACCAGATGGCTGGAGAGGGCCAGCACAGGTGGAGAGAAGGGAATCCGTCGGGAGATGGACGGGGGAAACCCAGACAGACCATCCGCCCAGACTGGAGCCGACCGAGGAGTTCACGGCTGAAGCCTGCAGAGCCTCCCGTCCCTGGCCACCCTCCCTCGCCCGCGGGCACAGGTGGCCACAGAAAGCCCACGGAAGCCTCCGGGTGGACTAGTGCGTGGCTAAGAAGGAATGACAAGCGCTAACACGTGGTTACAGGAAAGCCTTGGGCAGAGGGCAGGAACTTTCTAATTCTTGCAAGACCTTCCTGAACTAGGGGAATTCTCTAGAGAGGCCGGTATGCTTGATTAAGCACTAAACGACTTCTGGGACCAGTGGGGGGAGGGGGAAAGTGCTAGAAAGTTCTTCACTTACCTTCGTTTATCTTGAACTTCGTACATCTTGAACTTCGTACTTGATGTGTGGTACACGTGTGTATAAAGACACGTGACCACGTACACACAGAACAGTGTCGTCGCCGAGAAACTGTCGCGCAGTCCGGCTTTGTACGTGCTAAGCTCTCCCGGTCCCACCCTGACGTCACGGCCGTCCTCGACTTCCACCTACGGGCTCCACGACGCCCTAAGGTGAAGGCGCTCACCTGCTTTTCCGAGGCAGGAGAGAGGCGTCTCCTCCGCCTCCTGGTCGCCTTTCCCACGTCTCCTTGGAAAGGAGACACGAGCCGCCTGGCCGGCCGCCGGCCGCATCCTCCCCCTGTGGGGACACTCGCCCACACGGCCCAGTAGCGGGGCTTCGGCGCCTGCAACCGGGCTGGAGACACGCACGGGCGGCGCCACGCTCGCCCTTGCCCGGCCTGAACTTCTGCGCCACCAACATGGCCGGGAACCCCGAGCCCAGCCCACAGGGTCTCGTGGTGGGGCTGGCGCCTGAGCCTGGCCTCGCCCCGCGCCCCTGGCTCCTTGCTCCACCTCCGGGCCTACGCCTTCTGGCCTCGGGCCCGCAGCCCTTCGCCCGCCACCCCCCATCCACCTGCAGTCCCGCCCCGCGCCGCTCCGCGCCCACCGCGCCCACCGCGCCGCGCTTCCACCAGCCCCACCCCCGCCCCACTCCCACTCCAACTCCCATTACCTCCAGTTCCGCCCCGCCCCCTCGCCCCGCCCCTCGCCCCGCCTCCGGTCCTCTGGGTGCTCTCCGCACTTGAGAGCGGCGGAGACGCGCGGCGACTGCTCGGGACGGCGCGATGGAGTCGAGTGGCGGCCGCGCGGAGGCCCCGGGTCGCGGCCCGCGGGTGCTGGTGGTGGGCGGTGGCATCGCGGGGCTGGGGGCGGCGCAAAGGCTCTGCAGCCACCCGGCCTTCCGGCGGCTGCGGGTCTTGGAGGCCACTTCCCGCGCCGGCGGCCGCATCTGCTCAGAGCGCAGCTTCGGTAACGGCCTTTCTCTAACCCCTTTCCGGACCCCCTTTCTGGAACCCAGCGGGTGTCGCCCGAGCTCTGCCGCTCCTGGTGCGGCCTGCGCCCAGGGTTAACAGACCCAGAAGCCTTACCTGGTCCCCTGAGTGAATCTCCGCCCCACCCCACCTAATCAGCCAAAGTTCAATGGTCCCCGAAACTCAGCTGCCTGGCTGGCAGGGCCTGCCCCTGCGGAGGAGGGTAACCCATGTCTCTGCAGTCACCCCCGTTGTGTCCCACAAGTAGCACCGCCCCCCTCCTCTCCCCCCCCCGCCCCCCCAGCCTCGGGACCACTCCCAGGTGTCCCTTTTGCCCCCATGCCTGCTCTCCACGTGTCCTCCCAGGGCAGGTGCAGGCCAGCACCTCCTCCTCAAGTGTCCCCCTTAAACCAGGTCTGAGCAGGTGCTGCCATGAAGGACTGTAATCTTTCAGGGACTCTATGGCCCTGGGCTGGTTTTCAGAGCTTATTTGGGGAGGGCAGGGCTGCGTGTGGTCCAGGAGAAGGGCTCAGGGGTGGCCTTTGTGGAGAGAGAACCTCAAGGTGGCATCTCCTGCCCTTCCCAGGTGGCGTGGTAGAGCTAGGTGCTCACTGGATCCACGGGCCCTCCCAGGGCAACCCCGTCTTCCAGCTGGCGGCCAAGTACCAGTTGCTGGAGGAAAAGGACTTGTCAGAGGAGAACCAGCTGATTGAGACTGGGGGCCACGTGGGCGTGCCTTCCGTGTCCTACACTAGCTCTGGGGTAAGTGTGAGCCATGAGCTGGTGGTGGAGATGGCTGGTCTGTTCTATGGGCTCATCGACCAGACTCGGGAGTTCCTGCACCTGCCGGACGCCCCAGTGCCCAGTGTCGGGGAGTACCTGAAGAGGGAGATCAGTCAGCATGCAGCTGGCTGGACGGAGGACGAGGAGACCAGGAAGCTCAAGCTGGCCATCCTCAACAGCTTCTTCAACGTGGAGTGCTGTGTGAGCGGCACCCACAGCATGGACCTGGTGGCCCTCGCACCCTTCGGGGAATACACGGTGCTGCCGGGGCTGGATTGCACCTTTCCTGGGTATGTGCCTGCCCCACCTGCCCAGTCAGCCCTCTACCCCCCGGTCCCCCTCCATGTCCCCCCACCGTCCCTCCACCCACCCAGGCCCCCCGTGTCCCTCCACCCAAGTTCCCCCATGTCCCCCCACCATCCCTCCACCCACCCAGGCCCCCATGTCCCCCCACAGTCCCTCCACCCACCCAGGCCCCCCCATGGCCCCCCACAGTCCCTCCACCCATCCAAGCCCCCTCTGAAGTCTGGACCTCTCCACGCACCCAGGCCCACTCCATACACCCTGGGACTTCTTCCATTTACCTCAGGTTGAGCTGGGAAGCAGGGGAGGGTGACAGGGTCAGGGGGACATTAGTCTTCCCTGTTTTAGAGAGATCGCTTGTTTCTCTAGTTTTGCTCATTTAGGAAAAATAATTATTTTCAAGAAAAGGTGGTTAGAAGAAGGCAGTGCGTCTCACAGAGCTTTCTTCTGCCCGTGTTTACGAGGCCCCTTATGTGCTAAGTGCTGTGTGAAGGCTTCAGCTCCCGTGATGGACAGACAGCCCACCCCTGTGGTGGGTGGCTGTCCTGCCCCCCCCCCCCCCCCCCAGCATTCCAGAGACCCTCGCAGGCTTGTCCGTCTGGGCTCTGTCTGCCTGGGCTGTCCAGGCATTCACCCCAAGGTTCCTGGCAGAGGAGGGCATCTGTGATCAGAAGTAGGGGGCCAGGCCGGGCAGGGAGGAGGCCTTCTCCCACGATTGCCTCCATTTGCTCATGCTCGTGGACTCCTCCTGGTTGCCCCGACTGAGGTGGACTGGAAACCACCAGGGGCAGGGGTGGGGGGAACCCTTGCCCTCCTCCCTCCTTCCCTGCAGGGCACTTCCTCCAGCGGCTTCCTCTGAAGACACCAGCGCTTCTGTCTCTCCTAGGGGCTACCAGGGGCTCACAAACCGCATAATGGCCTCCTTGCCCGAGGACGTGGTAGTTTTTAACAAGCCTGTAAAGACCATTCACTGGAATGGGTCCTTCCGGGAAGCCTCTTCTCCTGGGGAGACGTGTCCGGTGTTGGTGGAGTGTGAGGACGGAGGCTGCTTCCCTGCACATCATGTCATTGTCACTGTGCCCTTAGGTAAAGCTGCTTTTCCCCACGGGTTTCCCTCCGGTCACCCATCCCAGGTGCCCTGGCCTCTGGCTCTCTCCCACCTCAGCTGGCTCTGTGGTGTTTGTTCGGCTGCTAATCTCGTATTTTCATTGTAGTCCTGGACAGGATTATTCTAATGTGTTTTGTAGCAACTGCATGCTTTGGAATTGAGTTTCACAGTAAGAGAAAGCCCACGTGTTGCTTCTTCAGAGGTCATTTATGGACAGGTTGGGACTGCCTCCAGGGGTTCCCCAAACCCTGCTTTCTTGGACACGGCAAAGGGTGTGACAGCCAGGTCTCAGGTTCAGTCCTTGTATGATTGAAAAAGGAGTCAAGTATAGGGTTCCGTTTAATTCTAGATCTGATGCCCTAGACAGAAGGCATTGGTGGGAGTTGGAAATTTGACAAAGGATGGGAGTGGCTGGGAGCCACGCCGTGTCTGTGCTATCTCACTTACTCCCCACACTTAGTTGTCCAAGTTCACCAGCCTAGCAAAGCCAGAGCTGCTGTAAGATGAAGAGTCCCCCCAGTCCGGTGGCTACAGCCTGCGCCCTGGGGTACCTTCAGGATGCAGCTTGCTGAACACCTAGTCCTTTCTCCCACATGTGGAATCGTACTGGACATATTAGCATAGTCTTCGGCTGCTCCTCTCTTGCCAACCCTGTCTTTTTGGTTAATACAACTTGTGTCAGTGTTTCCAACTCAGCACATATAGATCCGTGACATGAGTTTTTCCCCCCACCAATGTCTGTGTTCATTCACTGCTGTGGTGTGTGCTAACTGAGCCTCTGCTATAATCAGCAGGTGCATTACTGTGAATGTTGATATTGTTCACAAGGAGCCAGGACACCTGTCACGTAGCCACATAGTTATTTCTTATTTGAAGATGTCATTACTCAATATTACTTAAAATCGGTGGAAGTTTAGGTTATTTTCACTTTTTCTGTTTTACGTAACGTTTCCCACGTGCATTTAAAAATACTTGTGTGGGACACCTGGGTGGTTCAGTCGGTTGAGCATCCAACTCCTGATTTCAGCTCAGGTCATGATCCCAGGGTCGTAAGATGGACCCCTGTGTTGGGCTCTGTGCTGAGTGTGGAGGCTGCTTGAGTGTCTCTCTCTCTCTCTCTCTCTCTCTCTCTCTCTCTCCCCCCTCCCCCTCCCCCTCTTTCTCTCCCTCTCCCTCCCTCCTCTCTCCATCCCTCCCTCTGTCCCGCTCCCCTATGCACGCACACACACACTCCCTCTCTCTCAAATAAAATTCAAAACCCCCAAAACCAAAACAAACAAAACACATGTGCGAACGTATCTGTGGCATAGATTGAAGTAGAGGAACTGCTGGGCAGACGGGGACTGTGGCGGAGGGCACGTGACCCCCCTGTGGATCTGCTTCCTGTTGGGCTGTTTGTCCTTTACTCACTGCCTTTCAAGATATCTCTGTCTTAAGGAGATTGGCTTGTGCTGCAAACATCTCACCTCGTTGTTTGACTCTGGGCAAGATGTAATTTTTTGTCATGCAGATACTCTTTCTGTAGCTTCTGGATAAAGCCTGTTTGTTGTCTCCTCCAAACCAATCCACATCAGCATGGACTGCAGACGTCGCGAGGTGGAAGGTTTAGAAGGGGAAACTGTCCTGAGAACGATTCGGGGGTGTGCCAACGGCCCCTGCCTGACCAGCTGGCCACGGGGCCCTCTGTGTCCCTCCACGGTGGTGCTGCTCGCTGAGGCTGAGTCCAGAGATGGCCAGAGCCAGCCCAGCGTCTGGGAGCCCAGTTGAGCTGGGGCTGGTGTGGGTTCCTGGAGGCCTCTTCTCTGACTCTCTGATGGGGGTCGGGGTGTGACTCTCGCCTCCAGGTTAAGAGATGTGGTGTAAGTTGGGTCCACTTATGAATTCCAGGTTTTCTTAAAGAACGTCTGGACACCTTCTTTGAGCCCCCGCTGCCCACCCAGAAGGCAGAAGCGATCAGGAAAATAGGCTTTGGGACCAACAATAAAATCTTCCTGGAGTTTGAGGAGCCCTTCTGGGAGCCAGACTGCCAGTTCATCCAGGTGGTGTGGGAAGACACGTCGCCCCTGCAGGACGGCACCTCCGAGCTCCAGCACGTCTGGTTCAAGAAGCTTATTGGCTTTTTAGTCCTGCCTTCCTTCGAGTACGTATGCTTCTTGAGTTTCTCTGAGGAAGCTTCAGGTGTGAGCTCTGAAGGGGCTGGCTCGTTGGCCTTAGTTTGGTTGAGAATCAGCGGTGTGTTGGTTCACTGGGAGGTGTTTCTGGAGGATTTATGGGTGGGATCCCAAGGGCAGCCAGAGCCTGATGACAGACACCAGGGGGCTAACCCCTGCAGGGACAGACAGAAGCCTGCTGTGTGCAGCTTGTCGTATCTCTGGGCCTGGGGGCCTGGAATGTGC